AAAAAAAACCCTACTGAACTATGTACTGTTAAACCCTGCTAAAATCCTAGCTTCCGATCAATCATTTAAACCATTAATCTCTACTAAAAAATTTGAAACGCTAGAATAACAAAGTAGCTGCTCCATTAGAATTGAAGAAGAAATTCTATTAATTAGCACTTTAGCAGAAAGAGAGATTTTATGTTACCTTGAAATGATGCTGAGGAGAACGAAAGCAGAAGCAGTAGAAATAGAGAAGATGAAGAGGAAAGTAGATTTCGTAGGACAAATGCTATTGGCAGTTAAAGCAGCTGATAAAGTTGGATTCTGATAAACAGAAAACTTCAAGGGTTTTGAAGAAGGAGAACCACTCTTCTCTATTACTCCTCCTTCCATTACGAAAAGTTAGGGTTTTTTCTTCGAAATCAAGTATGGAAGATGACGATGGCTTCGATCGCCATTAACACGATAGAGAGACAGAGAAAGAGTTTCTTCTTGGATTTGAAATCAAGCTTTCGAACTTCAATCATGCGGAAATGGGCGGTTTTATTGGTCTGGGTTAAAACAGAACCTGATCCGGCACAGTCCAACCATTATGGGCCTGTATATGTTGGGGTTTGATATTAAAAAGATTTTGCTATTTCAGGCCGCCCATCACGGGCGTATATTTTATGGGCCTTTCATAGAGAAAGAAACGAGTTCTGCAATATGCCAGTATCAGATTCAGATCTGAGTATCTGACAACACTTTGTAGTAGTGTGCAAAACATTTAAACTTTGCAGGATGGTTAGCTATACCTGTTTTTAACAAGATCAGTAAAATAGTTCAAAGATGCAAATGAAGATTGAACTTCATACTTTTTTGATAAATTTCCGTTTTATTAGAATTAAAAACAAGGAATACAAGGTGATTGAGAAATTCACCAAAGAGAAAAAACAAAACCCCTGGCTACCTAAAGGTCAGCCCCCAAAACAACGAATCAAGAATCATCCAGAAACAAAACCCCTGGTATTATCATTTCATGTGGTGCCTCCTTAGCAACCCAAAGCGTGGCGCTGTGTGAGTTATGTTGTATTGGATAGTCTAACAGTTAACAAATAGAGAGCAAAAATGTTATAAACAGGGAAAAAGCCATGTGGATAAACTCTCTGTGCTACAATCCAATCAGATATT